TGTGTATGTGTGTGTGTGTGTGTGTGTGTGTGTGTGTGTGTATGTTTCCCCTCCGTGAATAATTTAGACCACCCTCTCATGTATCAAACCCTACCAACGAGAGATTTATCGAAACTTTTTGCTGTGTGCACTGAGTTATAGAATTAGAAAAAACTAGATCTAGTCATCTCCGGTATAACTGTGAACACAAAATAATAACTTCGCCGCAGTCGCACTCCGCAGTGAATATATAATGTCAAAGCAAATGATGGCGATCGCTACAAAAGGACTGAATTTAACTTAAAATGGGCTTTCTTCTTAAACATTTGATCTTAATGAAAATGCAATAGTGCAACACTGCGTTTCAAGTTATGGTTACTGGCAAAGTTTCATATTTTTCATTTGTTAGTTTCTGAGAATATACTGTTCGCAAAATTTGGCCTTTGCTCCATTAGTACATGTAGTAAGAAGTTCATCCACGTTCAACAAGAGGGTGATTTAAAACCCCCCCAGAAAAATTGTGTTTTTTTCCCCCAAATACATCGCGCAAAATTTGTACCAGAATGTTGTAATTCAGAACAGATATAGTCTAATTAATTCAAAAGGAATTTGTTTAACATAAAATTAACAAAGAAGAAACTTATTTTCGAAAACGGAAATGGCTTTTGTAAAAACGGCCTAAAATTGCATCATACACCAATTTAAAAGACCTTAAGGAAAGTAATGAAATGATTGGCTTGTTTCTTCCTTTCCTTTTATTTTTAAAATCTAATCTTTCCATCCATGTAACCTTTAAACAATATTTCTTTTTTCCTACAGAGTTGATTAAAAAAAAATTAATTCTCGAATTCTGAGAATCAATTAAGGCCTAATATATCATGTCCTCCTTTGGACTCGACACATTTAACGCGTCGTCCATAAAGTTCAGGGGTGGCCAAACACAGGGATCCACTCAACCATAAGTACGTGTACTCAAAGCCACACGCACTGTACACTTTACAGTATGGAGCTGTTTCTAGTGACAATAGGGGGGTGGGGGTTGATGAGGTTGCCCAAATAGACAACATTTGTGGAGTTGATGTAACCTGAAAGGTGAGGGCTTGCCAAGGAACCAAATGTCATATAAAGGAAAATGTTCTCGCTTTTCAAGATGATCGAGGAATCATGAACACTATCTTCTGAAAGCTTCGCGAACGGGAAAATGGTACAGTCGTATATATTTGCTTTGAGAATGCGGACCATTGAGATGTAGGAAGGTCCTAGCTGCAGACATTGTCTACGCACAGACGTCTCATGGGACTCATATACTGAATTCTGCACCCTGGTGACGTATAAAGGGGTGCGAACGGTGTGTGTTTCACCTGAAGTGGTCGTTTTGTCTGGGTATTTTTGGTTCTGATTCCCTACAAGTCGTAATTGATTGACCATTTTCACCTTTGACAGCAAAGAAGGCCTTAAGGGCACTTTAACATTATTTCCGTATCTAGTGCGAAACTTACGAAATGAGTTGGTGGTGAGGAAATGTTCAGTACAAAAAGCTCTCTGCTCTTTACTAATCTTAATCATGATCTCAGCAGGCAAAGGGAACTTGAGAAAAACTATCTACAAACTTCTGTTGGCCTGTTACACTACTGTAATTTGCAATAATATGGCACAATCGTTGGGATTTTTAGTGGTAGGCCTAATGCGCACTTGTGTGTCATGCTAAGAAAATGGGGACATAGCTGAAAATTGATTGTTGGTTTTTTTACGCGCTATGTAGAGCAAAACTATTCTGTAGATTTATCTAAAATGAATATCTGACAAACTCCTTGTGACTTCCAAATGTTGTGTACAAATTATAAACGCAAAACTTCAGTGTGGAGGAAAATACGTGTATTAACCCAAAACAGTTGTACAGTTTTGGTTGTTTTGTTGTTGTTGTTTTTTATCACCCTGATACACTGTTACATACCACGATAGAAAAGCAGAATCTGCTAAGGAATATTCTCTTGCATCTGTACCTTTTAAAAAAACCTTTCTGATCTATCGTCCTTATCTCCCCTTCTTCTTTTTTATGTTTGCTACTCTCTTGTAACACCTCTAATCTTCTGGCGCTCATATAATGTTATGCTGTTGCGAGCACCGTAAAACCTCTACTAAAACTAAAACTAAAGCAACCGCCTCCTGAATGAACGAAATTGTATCGATCGGGGCGTAAAACTTCTACAATTTTTTTCTCTTTTCCTTTTATTCTCTCAGGCGCTATTCATTTGGGGTAGTATACTTTTGCACCTTTGGTCTGCTGGGAATCGGCTGGCTTGTGGACCTCGTCCGCATGTACTGGCTGGTGAAACAAGCTAATGAGAAGGCAGAGAACCCTTGGCTCAGGCAACAGTTTTCCATGGTGGATGCCTACGTTCTATGGTTTCCTTTTGGCTTCTTTGGTGAGTGTGGATATTTTAACTGGTTTATTTTTAGGTACTTCAGACGAACCATTATAATTTAATATGAATCTTACTGTGGTTCTCATCGGGTACTACTAACAAATAAATATAATGCGTGACTCTTTGGTTTGTTAAGAACTGAGAAAACAGAAAACCTGTAATATACAACGTATGATGTGGTTAACCTTTTGTTAAATTTGATGGTTTGGAAAGGGTGGGGGTGGGGGGGGGGGTAACGAAACACATTGCATGGAAGTTTTGATGCTGAAAAATAAGTTGTATGAATAATTATATTGAGAAGAAAGGGTAAGAGAAAAGCATACGCAAAACTTTTTTAAAACCTTGACAAATTTATGTCAAGACGGGAAACCGAGGTGGCCACTTGGGGCCAACGGAATTTTAACGTTCACACTCACTCTGTCTCTGTCTCTGTCTCTGTCTCTCTCTCTCTCTCTCTCTCTCTCTCTCTC